GACAAGGATCAGTCTGTCCTTTACTCGGAGTTTCTCAGTTTCTCCGCACGAGGCCTTCAAGATCAATTCGGAGTTGGCCCGTCACTCCTGTAGCTCCTATATACCCTTAAGATTCATTAAAAAATGGTCTATTTTTTGTCTGAAATTTTATAAAATTATAATTGAATAATCTGCTAAATAAATTGCGAGATGAATAACAGTAATGAAATAAATGAGCTATGCGATATATGTGAAATGTCAATCGTTCAGGTTCATACACAGGCTTTTAGAATGTTCCGTGCCCAGCCATTTTTGCCCGAATTGTTCTTCAGGCCATTTGATGTTTCAGCGCATTAAATAAATATTTCTGCATGTGCCATTTGTAGTACACGTGGCCTGATGGTCAAGTTTAACGTGTACCATAAATAGTACACGTGGCACGGAACGTGTTAATTGTACAGCTTATCAATTCATCCTTGAAATGGCAAATAAAAAGAAAAAAAAATGGTGTGTCGCGTACCTGGAGAGAGTTACGTGGAAGTGGAAGTAATACCTTATGTTATAGGAGTATTGGGAAAATTGGGGAAATAGTCGGATAGATTATCCTATTTTGCATAAACTAAGAAAAATCTGACACCGTGCCATGAATTCTACAAAGGTTGTAAGTATACATTCGCTTTTAAACTTAAACCTTTAGATTTGAACAATGTAATGACGCGCGATTCGAAGTAATGTTCTTTCGACAAAAACAATACGTTACCGAGTTTAGGATTCCCGGTATTGTTAAATTTTCAAACAATATGTGAACATTGGAATTAACTCGTATTATTATAGGAGAGAAGTCTCGAGGACACCGAGACCGAATTGTTTAATCCAAATGTGTTGGACCGACTGTCCTTGACATCTCCTGAGGGTTTAGTAATTAGGCCTCTGAAATCTGGCGATTACGATCGAGGTATATAAAAATACGATAATAAAGAACGTTTTAATTGTATAATTAGTAACTATGCTGTATTTAAAAGGATTTCTTCAGCTTTTAACGCAGCTGACGCAAGTTGGAAACATCAGCAGGGAACAGTTTCTTAGTAAGTGCTCTTAAAGCAATATTGACTGTAACGATTAGGAATTTGATTCGATTTTCTAATACACAGATCGTTTTCATATGATGAGAAGTACCAATAGCTATTATGTCATTGTGGTGGAAGACGTGAGTCTAGGAAGTATAGTAGCAACATCAATGTTAGTCGTTGAACAAAAGTTCGTTCACAATTGTGCCCTGGTATGTGCACCCATAATTCTTTTCTCACGTTGACTTTTATAAACTGGAACTGTATAGAAACACTTATTTCAGAAAGGGCGTTTAGAAGATGTGGTAGTGGACGATAAATATCGTGGCAAACACTTGGGAAAGTTGGTAGTCAAAATTGCAACGCTATTGGCACACTATCTACAGTGTTACAAAGTGTCTTTAGATTGTAAGGATCATCTTATCCCATTCTATGAAAGTTTGGGTTTTATACGCGAACCCAACAACGCCAATTACCTCAATATGAGATGTTCGAAAGGAAATACTACAGAGAAGTCTCGCTTAGGATAATAATTAAAGGAATTAAACTTGAAAGCATGTTCGACGCGTTCCACTTTAAATTTCGAGATTCCTATTGTTTTAGACTCGTGGGAATTAATAGACTGCGGATTTTATGCAACTTAAAAATGTTTTAAATGACAGTCTCTTGTGTCATTTAAAGATTACAATATGCATTCTGGTTTTGATGTTTCTACATTATATGCAGCACTTGTTTTATACATTCACTTTCCGTATAAATACATAAAATCCGCAATCTAACAATTGAAGATAAAATGCGTACGTTGTGCAGATGGAAAAAGCAATAATGCGTAATCTTATTTTGCTGAATACAGATTATAATATTTTACAAGAATATACGTTAATGCAATAAACAATAGAGACAGAAGTAAGAACTGACTCGTCAGTAATCGATAATAGATAAAATACTTATTTCACAGTCAACATTTTTTTTAATTCCTTTCTTTCCTTTATTAAATACAGTGAATGCAATTAAGTTATAAGATATTCAAATTAAAGTTTCTTACTAGCAACATTGTTCCGCAGTTTTACCGCCCTTTTTGCTTCTATTTCTCTCTGTCTAGCTAGTTTACGCTCCTCGCGTAATCTCCTGGCTTCCTCCGATTTCTTACTTCCGCTAATCGTCCCAGTATTCTCAACGTTTTCTTATGAAAAGAAATTTTAAATAAATAACATATTCACATCTACATACAGGAATGGGCTATATAACTGAGTTTTCCGCAAAAAATCGTAGAGACTCAACTTTTCTTTTAAATTGAAGGTAAAGAATCAAGTTACTATTAAACAACAATACTAGTAAACAACATCGTAGAAAAAAAGTTATCCAAGTCCGTGTACGTAGTCAAACTGCTAATTTTTTAATTTTAAACACACTTAATTGATAATTATTTTCCAAACACGGGCAATTCT